GTCCACAACCAAAAAACTGGATTCAAGTTTCATACTAAAATGGCATCATTTGACCCACTTTGAAGGCAAAGAAAGCAAGCAAGCCATATATTTCTAGTTAGGTCAAAAGGCAAATGCCACACTGTTTGTGCTAAAGGGTAGAGATTTATCTGAAAAGCCATTTTGAAATAGCTCAAAATACTCCAGCATCTGATGCTTTAATAGAATAGAAGCAAGCAGGAGGCTGTTGAGCTCCTTTGGTGAGCAATAGCTTTGTAAGGACCACAATGGGACAGCAGATCCATTAATGAGGAGATTCCTCACACCTTTTCCATTGGGATCATCTGATTAATTGTACAGCAAGCAATGCTTCATCGAACACCAGCAAGTACATTTCTGAAGGCAGGGGGAGGGGTGGCCTCTACCCTCAAAGATGTAATTTCAAGTATCACTCCAATTAAATGCACTGGAAATACCTCCCTGTGGTGCTCCACTGGCCTTTGTCATTAACTGATGATCACTCTAGTGGAATTTCTAAAATAATTTTTCCTTTTATTCTGTTTTGAATAACTACTTTGCCATGCAGTAGCCTAATTGTCTTGCTTGTTTTTTGGCAAAATCAGAAATATAGCCCTTGGAGTGAAGGTTTATTTCAATATTGAGAGAACACGAGAACAATAGGAACTAAAACTACCCCCAGACTGCATTCAGAAGCACAGCAGAATGGTCTACCTGTGTATCTCAGTTTACTGGGATGTAGCTAGACTGGTTACAGATTGCACAGGAGGTACCAACTCCCCTGTCATCCTGCAAATGTGTGTGTTGAGTCCAAGTCCTCCCATGCCATTGCAATTATCTTTTATCAAGTATACCATGCATTTCACCAGCCACATCCCTAATGCCCAAAAGACAGTCTAAGATAAGAAGTAACTGTTGCCACCTTGTCCAGATAACTGCACATGGGGGATCAATTGTCTTGTGCTTCAATACAAGTGTTAAACCATCCTGCAGACCTTCAGATCCAGACATGCATTTTTATGGGATGACTTCAAGGATGTTCTGCATATTTCAGAGGTATAGCTAATGGGTACTATAAGAGGAGTTTTGCATGTACTGGGCTGACAGCTTAGTTTTAATACACATTCAGAGAGAGAGAAAATAAGAGCCCTCAACAAACCTTCCCTGACCATCTTTCAATCTTACCATATACAGGCTGCATATGCTAAATGTGTTAGAAGCAAATAATGGAATCTGTAATTAGCTGTTTAAAAAAAGTGGTTGACCTGTCAGTGAACAGTTGTTTTCACTGAGCAGAACTGAAATGATTTGTGCACCTCAGCCACTTTACGGCACCCAGGCAGAACTTCTGCATAGAAATGGAAGCATTACCATCACTGTAGCTCACATCCTGATGAGACTGGGTAATGTAGAGAAGTACTGGTGCAATCTGGAGTTTCCTTTCCTCAGAAAACCTGAAGAACAGTTTTGTCCTCTTCCATCTTCTCAGGAAGATGATTTTCAAGCAGCAACAGATGGTTAAAAGGCCACGTTCAGGAGCTAACAATAGAACATGAGCTCTTCGGTGGTGGCTCACCAAGTTGGGAGGCAGCTCACAAAGCTGGAACGCTACCAGTGCTCCTCATTAAGAGCTGAGAATAATGCTCCTGTAGTCCTCACCAAGGAAAAGGCTTAAACACCCCCCCCTTGTGGGCAAAATACAAAACATCACCAAGGTGATCAGATTTTTGGCCCATTCAGTTAAGCACCGGTTCATGTTTTGAGCCATTCCTACAGAGGCTGGGCTGCTTCCACACCCACAGGAAAAATATATATGTGCAGATGCTAAACACGTGTTCCTGCAGGCACTCAGGCTTAATTCACAAGAAAAAAAAAACACACACACTTTTTTGTTGGTTTTTTTTTTTTGCAATTGCATCCTGTAGTTTTGGGCCCAGTTCACCGAAAGTAATTTTTTGTAATTTGTATTAAATAACTGTGATATGAGGCACCCCTGGAAACAACAGACAAAGGGGTTAGAATTAATTTTAAGAGACATATTTTTATATGACAGCATAAGATTTGTCACAACAAGTCATCACAAGTTATTTAACATGCAGAAGATTCACTAAATCTACTGAGAGACTGATAAAACATTTCAGATAATACAAGTCCTTGAACACTGGCATGTGTTCCCTTCTCCCACTGACTTCTATTTTTATTGTTTTTAGCTAAAAGCCTTCTAGGGTTCCTTGGGGCTTGCTTATGTGACAAGAAGAACACCTGATACATTGAAAGTCCCCCAAAATAACACTTGTTCTTTATGAAGAGTTAATTAAGCATGTGTCCTCCAAGAAAGGAATATCTTCAGCATGCTTTGAGGGCTTAGCTTCTATAATTTAGCCAAAGCAAACCAGTTCTATTAAATAATCCCACTTTAACCTTTAGAAAGTCACACAACTGACATTCCTTTCTTAGGATGCAGGGTCAAGTCTGTCTACTGGACACCTGCAATCCTCTCCAGTGCAGGGGAGTTGTGCTTTAGAGGAGGGTCTGGCTCTGAAGGCCTTTTCACCAACTCCAGCACGTGTCACCTACACTGTTAATGTGAGAAATTACTCAGAACTGAGTTCATGGCAGTACTAAGCAAATGGGACACTTGCCAAGACATGAAGAGGTCACAGACTGGCACTTGAGAGATAACAGAGTCCATATCAGCCATTACTCCCCAGATGCAGAAATATGGCTCAGGAAAGTTTTGCCATTGCCTTCAAAACTATGTGCTTAGAGAAAAGCAGCTAATTAAACCTCTCACCTGGTGAAGTGGAATTTGCTGCAAAAGCTGTGATGTAGTTCAATTAAAAAAAAAACAAAACCCAGTCATTTGAAAATACCTGCCCTTTCAGAAGTTGGTCTCTATTTCTCTGACTTATACAGGTACCTCTAGCCCTTCCCCAGCAGCCACAGCTTCCCTGGCTGCTCTGACTAAATTGCTGGGAAATTTAAATGATGCCCTTTGAAGGAAAGCTCTTGGATTAGTGGAGCATGAAAGCCAGGGCTTCCCAAAGAGCAGCAGCACCCCCAGGCACACCTTGCATATCACAGAACATTGCAAATGGGACATCATGACCGTAGTTCCTAACGTTTCACATTAAAATGCTTTAAAGATCATCCTGCAGTATGGTTGCAAAAGCCAGCTAAGGTTATTTGCTGCTCTCTCAACACAGTTGTGTTCTTTTATTTCATAAAGGGACAGACAGTTCCCTAAACCAGCACTTTCAGAAGCACTTGATGGTGCTAAGAGCTGTACACATACCAGAAGGCAATCATTGCCCTGCTTCATTTGCCTGCAGAAATTTCTCTCCCATTTGAGGTGCAAAGTGGGTAGAAGAAACTGTCTTAAAAACCCAGAACGTGCAGACTTTCTTCTGAGATTTATGTGGCCTTTATTATCTGTGTGGTGTGAAATATCATTTCAGAGCATTTCAGAAATAGAAACCTTAGGAAAAAAAAACACCTGCTTTTCATTGAATGCACAGTAGCCTTTTGGAAGAGGAGTGGTTTGCTCTCCCAGTTCCTCTTTTCCATTTTGTTTCATTTTGTTTGTTTTGGGTTTTGTTTGTTGGGTTTTGTTTGTTTGCTTTTGTTTTCCAGCTGGCTTTAAAAGCAGAGGGAGATGGTTTAGCTCACATTTCGTATTCAAACTGCAGAATAGCACCAGTGCCATACCCAAGGTGACACAGGGACTGAAAGATGACCTGAAGAACAGGATCTGTGTGATGGTGATGGAAGCAGATGATCTCTAAGGTCCCTTTCAACCCAAACCATTCTATGATATTATAGACCTGTTGGAGAGGGTCCAGAGAAGGGCCACCAAGATGATCCAGGGCCTGGAGCAGCTCTGCTATGAAGACAGGCTGAGGGAGTTGGGGCTGTTCAGCCTGGAGAAGGGTCCAGGGAGACCTGCCAGCACCTTCCAGTACCTGAAGGGGCTCCAGGAAAGCTGGGGAGGGGCTTTTCACCAGAGCAGATAGTGACAGGACAAGGGGTAATGGTTTTAAACAGAGAGAGGGGAGATTTAGGTTAGATATTAGGAGGAAATTCTTCACTATATAGGGGTGGTGAGGAACTGGAACGGGTTGCCCAGGGAGGTTGTTGATGCCCCATCCCTGGAGGTTTTTAGGCCAGGTTGGATGAGGTTTGTGCAGCCTGGGCTGGTGGTTCCTGGGGTTGGAGCTGGATGATCTTTAAGGTCCCTTAAAACCCGAATGATTCTATGATTCTGTGAGTCTATGAAAGACCAGTCCCAAAGGGATGTTTGCTCCCCAAGAAGCCCACAAACACACCCCACTCCCGCAGGGCAGCCCAGAGCGCCTCCGGCGTGTGACGTTATCCCGTCCCTTCCAAAACGAGCCCAATGCCCTCCCTTCTATTCACACCACCCAGGAGCCATC